AACCATGTCTGAGCGAGGCCGCTGGATCGAACCCAGCCTCCGTGGCTGGCCCCTGCCTCTGTTGTCAGGAGGGCCTGGGTCCCAGCAGAGCTGTCCCCTCACGGCAAGTTCCTGTTTGTCTGTTGCCCTGAGTGTGCAGTGAGATCATGTCCTCTGAGGCCGCTGAGTCTAGACGTTTCCTGGACGCTGGGAGAGCCGCTCCGGAACGACAAGCTCCAACAGTGCCCATTGCTAAGCAGCTGCACCCCAGGGACAGCCTCTGGTCCCAGACACAGGCCTGCCCTGCCCGGCCCAGGGGGCCTGTGTCACAGGTGCAAGGGCTGCCTGCTGATACCAGGTGTTGATGATTTAGAACACCCAAACACGAATCCAAGCACCCAAACACGAATCCAAGCACCCAAACATGAATCCAAGCACCCAAACACAGCTCCAAGCACCCAAACACGAATCCAAGCACCCAAACACGAATCCAAGCACCCAAACACGAATCCAAGCACCCAAACAAACACGAATCCAAGCACCCAAACACGAGTCCAAGCACCCAAACACGAATCCAAGCACCCAAACACGAATCCAAGCACCCAAACACGAATCCAAGCACCCAAACACGAGTCCAAGCACCCAAACATGAATCCCAGCACCCAAACACAGCTCCGAGCACCCAAACACGAATCCAAGCACCCAAACACAGCTCCGAGCACCCAAACATGAATCCAAGCACCCAAACACGAATCCAAGCACCCAAACACGAATCCAAGCACCCAAACACAGCTCCAAGCACCCAAACATGAATCCAAGCACCCAAACACGAATCCAAGCACCCAAACACGAATCCAAGCACCCAAACACGAATCCAAGCACCCAAACACGAATCCAAGCACCCAAACACGAATCCAAGCACCCAAACACAGCTCCGAGCACCCAAACATGAATCCAAGCACCCAAACACAGCTCCGAGCACCCAAACACGAATCCAAGCACCCAAACACAGTTCCGAGCACCCAAACACGAATCCAAGCACCCAAACACAGCTCCGAGCACCCAAACATGAATCCAAGCACCCAAACACGAATCCAAGCACCCAAACACGAATCCAAGCACCCAAACACAGCTCCAAGCACCCAAACATGAATCCAAGCACCCAAACACGAATCCAAGCACCCAAACACGAATCCAAGCACCCAAACACGAATCCAAGCACCCAAACACGAATCCAAGCACCCAAACACGAATCCAAGCACCCAAACACAGCTCCGAGCACCCAAACATGAATCCAAGCACCCAAACACAGCTCCGAGCACCCAAACACGAATCCAAGCACCCAAACACAGTTCCGAGCACCCAAACACGAATCCAAGCACCCAAACACAGCTCCGAGCACCCAAACATGAATCCAAGCACCCAAACACGAATCCAAGCACCCAAACACAAATCCAAGCACCCAAACACGAATCCAAGCACCCAAACACGAATCCAAGCACCCAAACACGAATCCAAGCACCCAAACACGAATCCAAGCACCCAAACACGAATCCGAGCACCCAAACACGAATCCAAGCACCCAAACACAGCTCCAAGCACCCAAACACGAATCCAAGCACCCAAACACGAATCCAAGCACCCAAACACGAATCCAAGCACCCAAACACGAATCCAAGCACCCAAACACAGCTCCGAGCACCCAAACACGAATCCAAGCACCCAAACACGAATCCAAGCACCCAAACACAAATCCAAGCACCCAAACAGGAATCCAAGCACCCAAACACGAATCCAAACACCCAAACACGAATCCAAACACCCAAACACGGCTCAAGCACCCAAACACAGCTCCAAGCACCCAACCATGAATCCAAATATCCAAACACGGCTCGAGCACCCAACCATGAATCCAAGCACCCAAACACGGCTCGAGCACCCAAACACAGCTCCAAGCACCCAACCATGAATCCAAGCACCCAAACACGGCTCCAAGCACCCAAACACAGCTCCAAGCACCCAACCATGAATCCAAATATCCAAACACGGCTCGAGCACCCAACCATGAATCCAAGCACCCAAACACGGCTCGAGCACCCAAACACAGCTCCAAGCACCCAACCATGAATCCAAGCACCCAAACACGGCTCAAGCACCCAAACACAGCTCCAAGCACCCAACCATGAATCCAAATATCCAAACACGGCTCGAGCACCCAACCATGAATCCAAGCACCCAAACACGGCTCGAGCACCCAAACACAGCTCCAAGCACCCAACCATGAATCCAAGCACCCAAACACGGCTCCAAGCACCCAAACACGGCTCGAGCACCCAAACACAGCTCCAAGCACCCAACCATGAATCCAAGCACCCAAACACGGCTCCAAGCACCCAAACACTGACGCAGTGCACCCAATCACAGCTCCAAGCACCCAAACATGGCACAGAGCACCCAAACACTGACTCAGATAAGGTGGATGGGGCCCAGTTGCCGTATCTGCTGGGCAGGGGTCTTGAACTACCTGCAGAGGCTAGAGAAGGCTCCAGAGGAGCAGGAGCAAGGCAGCAGGATGAGAAGACCTCAAGTATGGCAGGGAGGGCAGAACCCCTGTGGAGCCCTGGCCTGGTCAGGACACAAACCCATACCACCCAGTGCTGCGTGCCAATGATGGGGTCGTGCATGCTCTCTCTCTCTCTCTCTCTCCCCCTCCCTCCCTTCCTCCCTCACCCCCCCCCTCTTTGTTTCTTTCTTTTTTGTCAGTTGTGGGGCCTGAACTCTGGGTCTGGGCGCTGTCCCTCAGCTCTTCAGCTCAAGGCAAGCGCTCTACCACTTGAGCCACAGCACCACTTCCTGTTTTCTGGTGGTTTATTGGAGATAAAAATCTACCAGACTTTCCTTCCCCGGGCTGGCTTTGAACTGTGATCCTCAGATCTCAGCCTCCTGAGTAGCTTGGACTACAGGCGTGAGCCACCAGTGCCCGGCTACAATGAATGCTTGACTGCCCTCTGGCTCCCTCTGCCCCTTTTATTCATCCCCCTGCTCTCCTTCCCTCTATTCCCCCTCTTAGGTGTATCCATTTCTCTGGGTCTGTCTGTCTTCATTTAATAGAATTTTTCCCAAGTCTTTCCATTTACTTTTTTTTGGTCAGTCGTGGGTCTTGAACCTGGGTGCTGTCCTCAGCTCTTCAGCTCAAGACTAGTGCTCTGACACTTGAGCCACAGTGCCACTTCTGGTTTCTTGGTGGTTAATTGGAGATAAGAGTGTCACAGACTTTCTTGTTCTGGCTGGCTTTGAACCGTGATCCTCAGATCTCAGCCTCCTGAGTAGCTGGGATGACAGGAGTGAGCCACCGGCACCCAGTTTCCATTTCCTTTTGAGCAGCACAGTATCGTTCTTTCTTGCAGAGAGTGGTTGGACAAGTGTACGTTCCCACAAACAGCGTGTTAGGATTTCCTGTTGGCAGCATCCGTGCCAGCGTTTGTTTTCTGTGCTCTTGATGATGTCCATTCTCGTGGCTGAGGTGAGAGCTAATGTCCTCTTATCTGAATTTCCTTTATGGGCAGGGATGTTGAGCATTTCCTTTTCTTATTTCTTTTTGTAGGTCATAGGGCTTGATCACAGGGCCTGCGGCTGTTCCTGAGCTCTTCTGCCCAAGTCCAGTGCTCTACCACTTTGACAGGCAGCGCCACTTCCGGCTGGCTTCTGTAAGGGTTCCTTGGGCCGTTTGGGTTTGAGGAGGGGCAGCCAAGGGGCGCAGTGACCCTTGGAACGAGGAGTGGAGGGATCCAGCGGCTCCTGACACTGTCCCCTCCTGGGTTTCAGCACCAGATATAAGGGTTGCTGAGAACGGATAGGCAGAAGGGAGTTTATTAGGAGAACCGGACCTCTGCGCTGCACCAGATGTAGGTGCTCAAAGCAAGGAGCTGATGGCAGACAGGGCTATCCGGGCGGCTACAGTCCACGCGGAAGTGACCTCGGAGGACCCGGAGCTACAAGTGACTATTACTGGTTTCAGGCAGGCGATTTCTGGTAAGGCCATGTGCTATGTGCTGTCCTTCACAAAGAGGAGGGAGAAGGGGCTGTTCTGCTGGACAGACCTAATGGCATCAAACCGCAATCCTCAGATCTCAGCTTTCTGAGTGGCTAGGATTACAGGCATGAGCCACCAGTGCCAGACGAGCATTTCTTCAAGTGTCCAATGGCCATTTTTCTCTTCCGAGAAGTCTCTCTTTAAATCATTAGCCCATTTATTAATTGTGTTGTTTGTTTGAGGATTTAACCTTTGAGGATTTAAGGGTTTTTTTTTTGTTTTGTTTTTGTTTTTTTGGGTCTGGTCGTGGGGCCTGAACTCTGGGCCTGGGCGCTGTCCCTCAGCTCTTCAGCTCAAGGCTAGCGCTCTACCACTTGAGCCACAGCGCCACTTCTGGCTTTTTTCTTTTTGCTTTTGTGGTGCTGAGGAATCAAACCCAGGGCCTCAGGCATGCAAGGCAAGCGCTCTACCACTGAGCCACTTTCCCAGCCCTGATTTAAGGTTTTTTTGTTTTATTTTTGTTGGTTGTGGGGCCTGAGCTCTGGGCCTGGGTACTGTCCCTCAGCTCTTCAGCTTAAGATGAGTGCTCTACCGCTTGAGCCACAGCACCATTTCCAGTTTTCTAGTGGAGATAAGAGTCTCACAGACTTTCCTGCTTGGGCTGGCTTTGAACTGTGATCCTCAGGTCTCAGCCTCCTGAGTAGCAAGGATGACAGGCGTGAGCCACGGACGCTCAGCTATTAGTTACTTTTGCGGGAGGGTCTCACTCTATGCTGCGTGCTTCCCCTGGTCTGCAGGGGCCTGTTCGCTCCCCGCACCTGGCCTTGGTGCGTCCCCTCCCTCTGCTGGAATACCGGTCTGGGCTACGATGCCCAGGACCTGGAGTCGCTCACACCCCTCCCCCGCCGCACTCAGACAGGTCCAAAGGCCAGGACTCTCCAGTTAGACCTGGCAACTTGTGCCAGTGCCTGCTAAAGAGACGTGGTGAAGGACAGAGAAAGGACAACATGGAAGACTGCACCTCTCCAGGGGTCTCCAGAGGTGCGACACTGGCTGCGCTGGCACAGGGGCAGGGGTGAGAAGGTAGGACTCAGCGTTAGCGCTGTGGCAGGTCACAGGTGAGGCCTGCCTGGCCCTCATCACAGGCTTCGGCCCTGGCGGAATTCTGGGATGTTATCACTTCACTGCTGGAACAGAAACAAGGTAGTCTCTCGAGTTTAGGCTATTTCCGTGAAGATGATATGAAGACAGGCTATGCGAGGGGAAGCTTGCTTCCCACAGGCCAGCTTGTATTTCCGGATCCCAGGCGCCAGCCTCGCATGGCCCTCTCCTCTCCTTTTCTGCACACCTCCGTCTCATGCGGGCTGGGGGTCTGCTCCCCCACCCCATAAACTCTGTTCTGTCTGACCCATGCGGAGGTCTCCGTTCAGGACGTACAAGTGGGAAAAGCTGCAGGTGTGGCCACCGCTTTTTTTTTTTTTTTGAGCCTCAGTTCCACTTCCAGCTTTTTGCTAGTTAATTGGGGATGGCAGTCTTCGAAGACTTTTCTACCAAGGCTGGCTTTGAACCTCACTCCTCAGAGCTCAGCCTCCCAAGTAACTAGGATTTTAGGCACGAGCCACGCATGGGCACAGGAACTTTAATCCTTCCTGAGCTAGGTGAATGCTCCAGCCACAACTCATCCTCCCACTGGGGTTCTGGGCGGGTAAGGTGGGAGAGCCGCCCAGCGGCCTGCTACCCACAGGGCCTCCCTCGTTCCAGACAGGCCTTTTATTCTTTCTGTCTCTACAAGTTCAGAGAGTTCCCAGATTTGCCATTTCAAAGGCAAAGGCAGATTTAGACAATCTCTTCTGTCTCTCTCAATTTTGTAACTGAACATTAAAAAGGAAATATGGTGGGTGGGAAACCGAACTGCTTTGATAGTTTACTTCCGAGTTTTACCTTCCGAGTTGGGGCCCTTGGTTACTTGTTGAAGAATAATATCTCCCTGTCTGCCCTTAGCACTCCTCCCCGGCAGGAGGGAGCTGCGTGTATTCGCACTGGGCCACAGGCAAATCTTCCACGTCCAACTCACTTTCCTTCTGAGTCATGACCTCTCCTCAATAAAGGCTCTGAGAGGAAGGGCCAGGCCTGGCTGGGCCGAGGCAGGCTCTCAGCAGGCCACCTGCGAAGCCACTAATGAGAGCTCAATTATAGATCAGCTGGAGGTTGTGGGCTCCCTGCTGGGTCAGCCGGGCTGTAACTGGCATGCTTGCCTCCAGCCCTTCAGGACACTGGAGAGAGGCTTCCTAGGCCACTGTGAGGCCACTTTTATGCCACAGCCCCCAGAGAGCCTGGCTCTGGGGTGGGGGAGTGAAAGATTAAATGAAAGATTATTAGACTTGGCCAGAGAACCACGCAGACATCCAGGTACAGAGAACAAGAAAGGTTTATTGCCGGGAAAGGGACTGGCAAGACTCCTTCTCACAAGGGAGAAGTGAGAAGCAGCGCTGGCCATTGTCTGGGGTGACCTATATAACCTAGGAGGTTTAGGAGGAGCTGGAAGGGGCTAGGAGGTGGAGACCCCGGTGTGGATGTGTGGGCCAGGGGCTTCATCATGGCAGACTAGGATGGATGGCTGCTGTCCAAATAGTAGATAAGGGTCCTCCAGCTGCCCAGACCTGAGGTCACTCGAAGGGGCTCTTGTTGCCTTCTATGGGGGTAGCTGCCCCAGAGAAGGATCCCCAAAGACCACCATGGAGCTGATTCTGATGCAAGACCATGAGAGTCATGTATTGCAAGCTCCGACCCTGGACTCACGACCCTCACTGACGCAGCGGGTCTAGATCGAGAGCCCTGACTTCCAGTTTAGCAGGGTTTTTATTTTTTATTTTTTTTTTGGATTCAGTCGTGGGCCTGAACTCTGGGCCTGGGCGCTGTCCCTCAGCTCTTCAGCTCAAGGCTAGTGCTCTGCCACTTGAGCCACAGCACCACTTCCGACTTTTTTCCTTATGTGGTGCTGAGGAATCGAACCCAGGGCCTCATGCATGCAAGCAAGGCAAGCGCTCTACCACTGAGCCAACTTCCCAGCCCCTAGCAGGGTTTTTATTATGGTGACAGCAAGGGTAGGGGGTTTCTAACTTAGCGGTTACATGATTGGTTGACATTTAGTGAGTGAATCTTGTAATGTCTTATTGGCTAGTGTGCACGGGCTAAGCAGTAAGCAGCAAACTGTGTTAACTATGCTATCTTAAGAAACATCTGGAGCTTTAGGTGCCTTCCGGTCATCTGCTGATGGCTATTGCTAGGGGAGTTATTGGGACATTTCGCAGTTTTTCCAGGAACCTGGAAAACTTTCAGTAAAAGTCTTTACAATGGGAACTTTTGGTAAAGGCCTTCACAATGGAGTCTAAGTCCAGAATGGCTAAGGCCTCTCATCCACGGCTGCCCCAGAAAAGTGCCATCCCAAGCAAAGTGGGTTGGAGGCTGATTATTTACTGCCTTTACTGTGTTGCCTAGGAAGACGGCATGCCAGGCTGTGGGGAAGGGAAGGGATGGACTAGGCTGTGGGAAGGGACTCATTTCGCTAACAGGGAGACAGAGTCTGATCTGGCCCTTTGGCAGGGACAAAGGTCTGCTACCCTACTTCAAGTCTTCAAGGCTGGGTTTCAGATCCCTGTTCCTTCAAGGTCAGAAGCTAGGAAACTGGGATTGGGGGCATCTGCCCCAAGAGAGGGGGCTGCACATAAAGCCACCATGTGTGGTCCCTGAGAAAGCAGGAAAAGAGATGGGAAGGAAAGCCAGGTGCCAGTGGCTAATACCTGTAACCTTGCTACTCAGGAGGCTGAGATCTGAGGATCACAGTTCAAAGCCAGCCAGGGTAGAAAAAACCATGAGAGACGGTTATCTCCAATTAACCAGCAAGAATCTGAAGTGGAGGTATGGCTCAAGTGGTAGAGTACTAGCTTTCAGTGAAAAAGCTATGAGACAGTGCCCAGGCCCTGAGTTCAAGCCTCAGTTCCAGGTGAAAAATGAAAAATAGAGACTGGGACACAGTTCTATACAGAGGGATGGGAGGGCCACCAGGAGAGGCAAAGCCGCAATCTGCAGGCCAGCAGCTATCCGAGGCTCCCCTGTAGGCGTCCATGCCTGGCTGAAGTCCCAGCCCTGCACTGTATGTTGGCTACACAGTGCACAACACATAAACAAGGCAAAGCAGGGCGGCGTTAGGAAAATGGAGAAGGGGAAAAGCCGGACTCCGTCTTCCACGGGCTGGGACTGCTTACTGAGGCGCAGTGAGGGGCCTAACCTTCCCCGGGGACTGGAGGTTGCCGAGGAGGTGAAGGTGGGGTCCGGCTTAGATGGGTCTTAACAAGGAAATAAAGGAGTAAAATTCAGGCGGTAGTTCCTCAGGTGCTGGGCCAGGTGCTTAGAGTCAGGTCGGGAGTGGAATGTCCTGCCGGGGGACCTGGCCGTGGCCAGGCGGGGTTGGGATGAGCCGCCTGCGGCCAGGCCTGCGGGGAGGCGTGTTCGCGCACCTGGGGAAATGAGGCCGTGTCAATCCGGCAGCACGGCATCTGAGTTCGGGCCTATGGAGCTCTAGCAATGCAGGCCGGCAGTGAGAGAGCTTCGGGGACCATGGCGGTGGGCTGGGAAGGCCGAGGGGAGCCCCCTTAGGAGAGGGGGAGGGGCAGGGCTCCTCACAGGGGAGATCCTCCCAGAGGCCTGTGCCACATGGGCAGTGGCCACTGCTGTCCACTGCCCTACTTTGGCCCAACAAGAAGCAAAGAGCCAGGCTGGCGGTGGGAGCTCCGTCCTCAGCAGAGCCGCAGAAGTGCCCCCTCCTGCCCCCCAGCTCCTTGGCAGAGGCAGAGAGGGCTCTTGTGACAAAGGCACAGAGCCACGCCAGCCTTCCGCTTCCTGAGCGGGGCTGGGTGGGGGCAGGGCTCTGCCCGAGCGGCCCCCATGGAAAACAGGAGCTTAGGGACTCTGCCAGGGCAGAGGACAGCCCCAAGAGGGTTTGTGGGACCGTGGAGCTGTGAACTGAGGTAGGAAAGCTCCCAAGTTCTCTGTAGTGACAGCGGCCTGTCCTGAGCGCCTGGGGGAGGCTGGCCCTTCACCCAGCCTTAGCCGCATCCCCGCAGCTCCTCCAGAAATGACCCGGCTTCCGGCATTCAGAGGTATGGGATTTCTAGAGGAAGGAAGGAAGGAAGGAAGGAAGGAAGGAAGGAAGGAAGGACGACCTCAGGGCCTGGGCACTGTCCCTGAGCATCTTTGTGCTCAAGGCTAGCACTCTTCCACTTGAGTCATAGCACCACTGGTTTTTTCGGTGGCTTACGCCTGCAAGCCTAGCTATGCAGGAGGCTGAGATCTGAGGATCACAGTTTGAGCCAGCCTGGGCAGAAAAGTCTAGGTGAGACTCTTTTTCTCCAATTAACCACTGAAAAGCTGGAAGTGGCACTGTGGCTCAAGTGGTAGAGCACTAGCTTTGAGCACAAAGAGGCTCAGGGACAGCTCCTTGGCTCTGAGTTCAAGCCCCATGACCAACTAAAAAATAAATGAGTCTCACAGGACTTTGCTGCCCGGGCTGGCTTTGAACCATGATCCTTAGATCCGGTCTCCTGAGTAGCTAGGTTTACAGGTGTGAGCCACCAGCACCTGGTGAGGTGTGGGATCTTTGAGCACTTTATGCCCAATCAAGCCATGATGTCCATGCTTAAATCTTTTTCCTAAAAAGAATAAGGAGTTGGTTGTGTGGCTTAGGTGGTAGGGTACCAGCCAATGAACAAAAGTGTCAGATACAATGTTTGAGTCCCAGTCTCTGGGGGGAAAAAGAAAGGAATAAATACGAAGTTACATTCCTCCCTCTTCAACTTCCTGAGCAGCTGGAGCTCAGGCATGCACCACTGTGCTCAGCTTTGTGTACATCAGAGAATGGATTGAAAAGATACTTGTGCAAAAACAGTAATGAGAGCTGGGAAGGTGGCTCAGTGGGCCCAACAGACCACTGGGCACACAGTGGCTGCCAACGGTCTTGCCCCGGGCACGGCAGCGTTTCCATACCGCCCGGCATCTCACGCATGTTGGCACCGGTGGCTCACACCTGTGACACGAACGAGCCAGGAGGCTGAGGAGCAAAATCAGGCAGGGCAGCAAAGCCCGGGAGATCATCTCCAGCGAACCACCTGACAACGCCACTGGTGTTCACTTCCCTCCTATCAGGTGTGAACTGAAAAGATGTAACGCGCTTCCACCGGCAGTTGGTATATTTCCAGAAAAGTTACCTTTAGTCTTGCATATTTTTGCACTTGAGTCGAGTCAGCTTAAAATGTTCAGGAACGATGGGGCTGGGAAGATGGCTCAGTGGTAGCGTGCTTGACTTGCATGCATGAGGCCCTGGGTTCAATTCCTCAGCACCACATAAGCAGAAAAAGCCGGAAGTGGGGCTGACACTCAAGTGGTAGACTGCTAGCCTTCAGCTGAAGAGCTGAGGGATAGCGCCCAGGCCCAGAGTTCAGGCCCCACGACTGACCAAAAAAACAAAACCAAAACAAAAAACGTTCAGGAACAAACGCCCAGATTCCTGCAGGGCCCGGATTCCCCCAGGGCCCAGGACTCTGGTTTCTTCCGAGAATGGGGGCATCATTTTTTTTTTCCAGAAAAAGCAACTAAGAAACATGCACACAAGTAAAGCTCTTGTCCGGGTGGCGCCTGGGCCTGGGCCTGGGCTCTGTGCCGGGGCTCTGTGCCGGTGCGCGTAGGGTGGGCAGAGGTCTGCTGGTGGACTGCGGGGTCATCTCCCACGCTGTGTACTTATGAGACAGGATATTAGAAAATTCCTCCCGAGGGCAGGGTCTGTCCCCATCCCGGGGACCCCGTGCCACGGCCCCGTTTCCCACAAACCCCTCGCTGCGCCCCACTTCTCAGCTTTTACGCCCCATTTTTTTAACCTAGGAGGCTGGGGTTCCGAGCTTCTCTCCTCGCAAGAAAACAGAAGCCGTACTGGGTCATGAGGGGGATGGCGCCGCGGCCAGGGGGTTGGGGCCAGGCGACCGCTCGGCTGCCGGCCCGGCGCCCGGTTTCCATCTCACCCTTCCCTACCTTTGCTAAGTGAAAGAACCCAGGCCCCAGCAGCTCCAGGTGCAGGCTAATGCTGGCGTTCCGGCGGGTGAGCACGGCACCGGCTAGTGGCTAGCAGCTGCCCGGCGGGGGGCCGGGGCCCTGGCTGCTGTCCAAGTTCCTTGCAGTGTTTATTCAAACGCTTATGCGGTCAGCTGCAGATTCTGGACATGAATGAGCACAGATTCCAAACAGATTGAAATGAGATCAGACTGTCGATAAAGTTATGAGCCACGACCAGGCGGCCATCGTATGCGTAGATAACAAGGGGACTATAAAATGTGTACTTAGGATAAATCTAATCGTTCCTGTCTTGTGTATGATGTTTCCTTGCTCATGCCCACCTACAGTTTCATATGTATCCTTCCAGAAGTAGGTACAGAGCTCTCTAGGTACAGAGCTGATTTTTTTTTCCATACAGAAAGTAGACCATTATATACCATACCAATGCCTGTATTTTTAATTTAGCAGCTCTCAGAGACTTGTTGTATCAATGTGCATAGAATTATCACATTAAAAGATCTTACATTAGGGGCTGGGAAGGTAGCTCAGTGGTAGAGCGCTTGCCTTGCATGCATGAGGCCCTGGGTTCAATTCCTCAGCACCACATAAGCAAAAAGAAAAAAGCCAGAAGTGGTGCTGTGACTCAAGTGGTAGAGCGCTAGCCTTGAGCTGAAGAGCTGAGGGACAGGGCCCAGGCCCAGAGTTCAGGTCCCACGACCGGACCAAAAAAAAAAAAAAGATCTTACATTAGAAATAGCATAAAGGCTGGGTGTTGGTGGCTTACACCTGTGATCCTAGTTACTCAGAAGGCAGATACCTGAGGATCCCAATTCAAAGCCAGCCTAGGCAGGGAAATCTGCAAGACTCATTTCTGGTTAATAAAAAGCTGGAAATGGCTCAGTGGTAGATGCTTGCCTTGCATGCATGAGGCACTGGGTTCGATTCCTTAGCACCGCATAAGCAGGAAAAGCCAGAAGTGGCGCTGTGGCTCAAGTGGTAGAGCGCTAGCCTTGAGCTGAAGAGCTGAGAGACAGTGCCCAGGCCCAGAGTTCAGGCCCCATGACCGACAAAAAAAAAAAAAAGAAGCTGGAAGTTAAAGTGATAGAGCCCCACCTTGGGAAAGCTGAGAGACAGGGTTCAGGCCCTGAGTTCCAGTCTCAGTGTTACACTGACACAGAAATATGGACTGGAACATTCTGGAGTTTAACCAGTTGTCCTTGGGTGTGTTCAGGGTGTGTAATGGTAGACGGCACTCTAAGTCAGCCCCTTGTAAATGCCTGCCTGCAGGTGCCTGTGGGAATTACCTTTGAGCTAGATTTCTAAAAGTGCTAACGCAGGGCTGAAGGTTTAGAAGTATTGAATTTCCATGGATGCTGCAAATCAGCAGTGCAGTTCTGAGGAGGACAGGTGCGTGTACTCTCATGGTATTTTACTCTACGGGTGTTTTTTTCCTGAGGCAACTTGAGGAGATTGGGCCTGCTCTGGACCCTGATCTGCGTTGTGCAGAGGGGAAGCTTCCGGGCCAGGCCTTGCCCTGACCGACGCCATTTTATAAAGGAGCAGTGTGGCATGAGTTACTCCAGTTTAAGTATAAACGCCAAGACAGAATGACTCTACATCTTTGTACAAACAAACCACCACTGTCCACCACCACCCCAGGAGGCACATGCTGCTAACTTACACCAAGAAATGGTGGCACCTTGAATCTATCAAATAATATCTGAAACATGTGCACTGGGGCTTATCAATCACACCAGACATAACCCAATCACCCGGGACTACAAGGGAGCTCTCCAGTGCTGACATGAAGCCGGCTTTGGTGGCTCACACCTGTAATGCCAGCTACTCAGAGGGCTGAGAGCTGAGGATCATGGCTAGAGGCCAGCATAGGCAGGGAAGTCCATCAGACTCTGATCTCCAATGAACCACCAAAACAGCCAAAGTGGAGCTGTGGCTCAAGTGGGAGAGCGCTAGCTTTGATCACAAAGCTTCAGGCACAGAGCCTGGAGTTCAAGCCCCAGGACTGTCACTCACACACACACACACACACACACACACACACACACACACACACACACGCGCACACACACACACACACACAGGTACGTAGGCATGCCGAGACAGGGCTGGCACTCTGACCCTTCTTCCATCCATCTGTCAAGCATCTTCATGAACACCACTGCCCCAGAGAGCTCTGTCCATCGGTCCGTGGGCTCCAGCTCCAGGCGGTGCAGTCCACTTTAAACTGCCTGCCACAGGAACCAAACGTGACAATTCTGTTCTGAACAGCCGGAGCCTCCCATTGGTAAAACCCAGCTGCTTCTCTGCGGCTCTGTCCCAGCCTTCTGCACAACCTCTTTAACCCTTTCCTAGTCATCCGGTAATGCGTACACGTTTCCACCCCAAATGTGTGATCTTAGAGACCAAAAGTGGAAAGGAACCGAAGAGGCTGCTGGCCAACGGTGGCCGTGGCCAGGTAGCACCAGGAGTCTGGGGAAACACCGAGGAGATGGACGCGCCTGTGGATTTATGGTTATCTCCTCACCCCTGACGTCGGGGAAGACACCGATGTGTCTGCTCAAAAGAGGTTCAGGGGTTGGAGATGTGGCTCAGCGGCGGAGCGCGGGGACGGGGTTCGAGTCCCGATCCTGAACCATGGGGAAGGCAGGTCTAGCGGGCCGCACCAGCACTGGCTGCTGTGCGGGTTTCTCCGGGGGCCCGGCTGGGGCAGGGTCCCTTCCTGGCCCGGTCAGGGGTGCGGCGGGGTCGGGGGTGCGGTGGGGTCCGTGTGTGTGTGTGGTCCGGGTGTGTGTATGGGGGGTCCGGGGGTGCGGCGGGTCCGGGGGTGCTGCGGGGTCCGGGAGGAGTCCGGGGGTGCGGCGGAGTTGGGGGTGCGGCGGGGTCCCGGGGTGCGGCGGGGTCCGGGTGTGTGTATGGGGGGTCCGGGGGTGCGGCGGGGTCCGGGTGTGTGTATGGGGGGTCCGGGGGTGCGGCGGGGTCCGGGTATGTGTGTGGGTCCGGGTGTGTGTATGGGGGGTCCGGGGGTGCGGCGGGGTCCGGGTATGTGTGTGGGTCCGGGTGTGTGTATGGGGGGTCCGGGGATGCGGCGGGGTCCGGGTGTGTGTGGGTCCGGGGGTGTGTATGGGGGGTCCGGGGGTGCGGCGGGGTCCGGGTGTGTGTGGGTCCGGGGGTGTGTATGGGGGGTCCGGGGATGCGGCGGGGTCCGGGTGTGTGTGGGTCCGGGGGTGTGTATGGGGGGTCCGGGGGTGCGGCGGGTCCGGGGGTGCGGCGGGTCCAGGGGTCCGGCGGGTCCGGGGGTGCGGGGGGGTCCGGGTGTCCGGCGGGTCCGGGGGTGCGGCAGGTCCGGGGGTGCGGGGGGGTCCGGGTGTCCGGCGGGTCCGGGGGTGCGGGGGTGCGTCGGGTCCGGCGGGTCCGGGGGTACAGGGGTCCGGGGGTGCGTCGGGTCCGGCGGGTCCGGGGGTACAGGGGTCCGGGGGTGCGGCGGGTCCGGGGGTGCAGCGGGTCCGGGGGTGCGGGGGTCCGGCGGGTCCGGGGGTGCGGGGGTGCAGCGGGTCCGGGGGTGCGGGGGTCCGGCGGGTCCGGGGGTGCGGGGGTGCGGCGGGTCCGGGGGTCCGGGGGTGCGGCGGGTCCGGGGGTGCGGGAGTCCGGGGGTGCGGCGGGTCCAGGGGTCCGGGGGTCCGGGGGTGCGGCGGGTCCGGGGGTGCGGCGGGTCCGGGGGTGCGGGGGTCCGGCGGGTCCAGGGGTCCGGGGGTCCGGCGGGTCCGGGGGTGCGGGGGTCCGGCGGGTCCGGCGGTGCGGCGGGTCCGGGGGTCCGGCGGGTCCGGGGGTGCGGGGGTCCGGCGGGTGCGGGGGTCCGGCGGGTCCGGGGGTCCGGGGGTCCGGGGGTGCGGCGGGTCCGGGGGTGCGGCGGGTCCGGGGGTGCGGGGGTGCGGCGGGTCCGGGGGTGCGGGGGTGCGGCGGGTCCGGGGGTCCGGGGGTGCGGCGGGTCCGGGGGTCCGGCGGGTCCGGGGGTGCGGGGGTCCGGCGGGTCCGGGGGTCCGGCGGGTCCGGGGGTCCGGGGGTCCGGCGGGTCCGGGGGTCCGGCGGGTCCGGGGGTCCGGCGGGTCCGGCGGGTCCGGGGGTCCGGCGGGTCCGGGGGTCCGGCGGGTCCGGGGGTGCGGCGGGTCCGGGGGTCCGGCGGGTCCGGGGGTGCGGGGGTGCGGGGGTCCGGCGGGTCCGGGGGTGCGGCGGGTCCGGGGGTCCGGCGGGTCCGGGGGTGCGGGGGTCCGGCGGGTCCGGGGCGCGTGCCGGGCCGCGCGGCCGCCCGTCCTCCCCGCGGTGCCCGCCGCCTCCCCGGCCTGGGCACGCCGTCGCCGGTCCCCCGCGGCCCAGGGCAGGGGTGGCCTCGGCCCGAGGACCCGGATGGGACCCCGACCCTGAGGCCCGGGCGGGGGGCGCGTCCGCGGCGGCGGGGCCCCGGGGAGATGGGGCGGCCCCGGCCCGCCCCGCCGCGCCCCGCACCCCGGCCCGACCGTTGGCGCGGCCCCGCCGCCCGCCCGGCCCCGCCCGCGTGTCCCCGCGTCCCCGCGTCCCCGCCGCCCCGCGCGCCGGCGGAACTGTGGGATCGCCGCGCACAGGAAGTGGCGGCGGCGGCGCGGCCGAGGGCGGCGGGCGGCGGGCGGGCGGGGGCCGGGATGGGGGCCGCGGGCGGCGGGCGCCGCACTCGCTGAGCCCCGACGCAGGGCCGGGCCGGGCCCAGCGGACCGCGCGGCCGGGCGGACGGACGCGGGCGGCGGCGGCAGGTGAGCGGGGCCGGCCGCCTCCGGGGCCCGCGGGGCCCGCGCCGCGCCGGGCCGGGCCGGGGCCTCCGGGCCGAGGCGCCCCGCGGGGGTCCCGGGCCGCCCGCGCCGCCGACCGGGCCGCGGGCGCAGCTTCTGCCCGGAGACCCGAGCGCGGCGGCGGGGCCGGGCCGGCCGGGCGCGGGGTGACTTTGAGACCGGAGGCCACCGCGGATCCCCGCGTCTCGGCGGCTGACGCCCGCCCCGCGGGGCGCTGTCCACCGGCGCGGGCGCGGGGCGCGGGGCGCGGGGGGGGGGGGCGCGGGGCGCGGGGGGGGGGGGGCGCGGGGCGCGGGAGGGGGGGGCGCGGGGGGGGGGCGGCGGGGACGCGGACGGTTTCCTAAACTCCTGAGAAGTTTGGTGGAGCAGGGAGCGGGGGGAAGGGGCTGTGCTGTGGGAGGGCTGTCCAGACCCGGGCCTCCCCTCCCTCCTCCCCCTCCTCCCCTCTCCCCTCCCTCCTCCTCCCTCCCCTCCCTCATCCCCCTCCTCCTGCCCTCATCCTCCCCTCCCTCCCCTCCTCCCCCTCCTCCCCTCCCTCATCCCCCTCCTCCTGCCTTCCTCCTCCCCCTCCTCCTCCCTCCCCTCCCTCCCCTCCCTCCTCCCCCTCCTCCTGCCCTCCTCCTCCTCCCCCTCCTCCCCTCCCTCCCCTCCCTCCTCCCCCTCCTCCTCCCCCTCCTCCTCCCCTCCCTCCCCTCCTCCCCCTCCTCCTCCCTCCCCTCCTCCCCCCCTCCTCCCCCTCCTCCCTCTCCCTCTCCTTGTAGAATATTACCACTTGTCTAAGAGAATTCTTGAGCAAGGGGGTTCTCTTTCCTAGGGAACATGACGATCTTGGGACCAGGGGAAATGTGGGCCACCGGCCGCGGGACGGCCTGGAATGGGAAGGAAAAGCCACCTCCGGGGCTGGGCCCTGGTCCTGGGTCAGGGCGGCCCGGGTCGGGCACAGCCCGGGAGGGAGGAGGCAGCCCAGGGGACCCTGCTTTCTAGTCTGATCACTTACCTTTGTAACTCCAGGCCCCCCCCCCCCCCCCAGCCTGGGCATCAGCCTTCAACAGCACGGTGCACTCTAGAAGGTCTTTGTGATTACATCGTTTCAGAGAGCAGTTATATATGATGAGGTCCAGGCACCAGCAAGGGCATCTTCCGGTCTTGTATACTGTTGTTTTGTTTTGATTTGTCAGTGGCGGGGCTTGAATTCAGGGCCTGGGCGCTGTCCCTGAGCTTGTTTGCGCCCAGCGAGTGCTCTACCATGTGAGTCACAGCGCCACTTCTGCACTTTGAATGGTTAATTGAAGATAAAAGTCTCCTTTCCTGTCCAGGCTGGCTTTGAACCCTGATCCTCAGATCTCAGCCTCCTGAGTAGCTAGGATGACAGGCGTGAGCCACCAGCGCCCGGCAGGCCTTGTCTGTTTCTGAGCAAGCGCCACAGGCCTGCTGTCTGCCTGCCGGTGCTAGGCCTTCCTGGGCTTCTCGCACGTTGTAGGTGTGTCTCTGGCACTGGCCAGAATAACTGCTGGAATTGGACTCAGGGCAAATATAGTCTGGGGAAGAAAGCTGAAGAGGGTGCTGGGTTGGGGAGGCCCCTGTGGCCTGGGCCTGCTGCCCCAGCCCAGCGGATGCCCTGCGTCAGCCTGTGCCACGCGCTGGGAAACAAGGAGAAAGTAACTGGTCAATTTTGGAAGTTAGGAAAGAAGAGCCACCAAATGCGAGTGCCCCAGGCCGTTTGCTCCAGGCCTGGCTGCTTCTGTGTCCAGCGCCGCGGTGACCTCGCGGCCGGCCAGAGCGCAGGCTGTGCGGTGTATGCGTGTCACCTCGGAGCGCGGAGCTTGGGCCCTGCGAAAACAGGGCCAGAGGAAACAGGGCTTGTGGCTTGCCCGAGATTAGGTTGCAAATTGGCCAGAGGGTCGCCCGGCTCCTCAGGCTTGTCCGTGGCCTCAGAGTCTGTAAACGTAGTGTCGGTAGGGAACACTGAATCCCTTTCACGCTCCAGAGGAGCGAGAACCAAGCTGTGCGGGAGAGGCCGCCCTTCGCTGTGTGCTGGGAGGAGAGGGAAGGAGGGGGCCTCATGGGGTGACAGGACAATGCTGGATGCTGGGCGCAGCCCCGTGGGCCCTGGAAAGCGGCTGCCCGGCTGCCCCGGCTCCATGCACGGGGAGGCTCGTGCTGGGCCGCCGCTCCAGCCCCGCCGGCCCTCCTCCTCACCTGTGGTCTTGCTTGGACTCTGCAGTGCTGACTCGGGGCCACGGCGAGGGCCCCCGATCCTCCCCTGCTCCCCTCCCCGACCCCGTGCCCCCGGTCCTCCCCTCTTTGGCCAAGTGGCTGGTGGGGAGTGAGCACACTGGCATGACCAGCCACGGCTGGCCGTCCCTGCCCTGCAGACTTGTGCATGCCCCATGTCAGTGGCGTGGCCTGCCTCTCCCCGGGGGTTCTGTTCCTGCAGGGCTGTCCAGACGTCTCGTGAGGTTTTACTTTTGGTTACTTGAAGAATGTGAGGGTCTTGAAGGATTTCCAAGATGTAAAACAGAGCCACTCTGGTGCCATTTCCAAAGTTCCTTTCGTGGTACCTTTGAGGCGGATTCTGAGGCGTTCTGCCTTCTAAGCAGACGTGTCCCTGCGCACCTTTGGACGGCGTTGCTTGGTTAGCGTTTGCTGGGCTATGATGGTCCATGTCAAGTCACGTGTGGGCCACACATTCCGAACCTGGCTCTGGGGAGGGGGGCGGTGGTCCTTCAGAGCCGGCCTCGGTGACTGGCCGTGAGGAGACGCGGGCACTGTCCCTGCCTGCCACGTCTTCTGCCTGTGGACGAAGAGCTGTGGACAGGATACACTTCAGGAGCCACACTTGTCATTCCGGCTGCCACAGGCAGAGGGTGCCCCGGAGGCTGGAGTTCGGTGTCACTTAGGATGGACCGCCACGCACAGGGAGCGCGGTGACAAGCATCGTCCGTGGAGATTGTCTCTGGTCCCTTTTGAAAGTGTGGGGATTCATAATAAATGGAGGAGCAGCGAGTTACAACCCGAGCAGCGGTCAAAAGTTGCTCACCGCTGCTCTGGCTCCAACGCTCTAGTGGCCGCTTCCCTGCACACCCAGCCCGGCAGGGCGCCACGCAAGCTACTGCCACCCAGCCAGGGAGCACTGTGCTCCTCTTGCTTGCTGAACCCAGGGTTTTATGAGTTTCTGCTGATATTGCTTCTGCCCTGAAGCGCTGAGACAGCGTGCAGTGACTGTACTTCGCGTTTGCTGTGGGTGCTGGGCCTTGAACCCTTTGCTCAAGCATCGTGCTCTCCCGCTTGAGCCACACCCCCGCTCCTAGCTAGGATTGTAGGCCTGAGCTGCTGGCACCTGACTCAGCGGTTGGACCTCTAGGATGTGTCCTACCCACACGCTATTTTGCTGAATCCTCAAGACAACCACTTGGGCGTGGTGCTGCCCCCTGGTGGGTGGAGGCTCGGGCTGGGTTGCTTTGCTCCAGAATGTAGCTTTGGGTCTGATTGAACCCAAAGCGGTTATCTTTCCTCCCTCCCTCCCTCCCTCCCTCCCTCCCTCCCTCCCTACCTCCTTCCCTCCCTCCCTCCTTTCCTTCCTTCCTTTTTTTTTGTGGGTCGTGGGACTTGAACTCTGGGCCTGGGAGCTGTCCCTCAGCTCTTCAGCTCAAGGCTAGCGCTCTACCACTTGAGCCACAGCGCCACTTCCGGCTTTCTTCTTTTTGCTTATGTGGTGTTAAGGAATCGAACCCAGGGCCTCAGGCATGCAAGGCAAGCGCTCTACCACTGAGCCACCTTCCCAGCCCCAGGCCCAAGACTTTTGAAAGCAGAAGAAAAGAGGTAGAAGGTACAAAGCAGTGGGCTAGCCTGGAGCTGGATGAGACCTGCACAGCATCTAACAAGTGCTCCAGAGCCTGAGAGCCAGGGTGGTTCTTTTAGAGAAAGGAGGGGAGGGTCTGTGCGTGGGATGCCCATTCGGAGACGCGGGGCGGCCTGGCACGGGCGCTTCACCCAGCACCAGGCAGGGGCACAGCTCAGGCACTGGGCACAGCCGCAAAGGCTGTGGGAGCCACGGTGCTGCTTCCAGACCTAAGCAACCCGGTCGCAGCTCACCTGGAGACCGCGGCGAAGGCGTCGTGTGTTTGTGGACTATCAGGAGTTACTAGCTGGACACAGGTGGCTCAAGCATATAAGCATAGCAACTCTTTGGGTTTCTGTGTGTATATGAAGCTTGATTGGATGTTGGGCCTTCACAGAGATGTGGACCATCTTAAAGTTTAGGACACTTGCATGGTTCAGCAGTAGCTAGCTCTTTAATTCTCCCCAAAGTGTGTGTGTGTGTGTGTGTGTGTGTGTATAATACGATTTAAACTCAGGGCCTCAAACTCTTGCTTGGCTTTTTCTTTCTCTTTTTCTTTTTCTTTTCTTTCTTCCTTTTTTTTTTTTGTTGGTCGTGGGGCCTGAACTCAGCCTGGGCGCTGTCCCTCAGCTCTTCAGCTCAAGGCTAGTGCTCTACCACTTGAGCCACAGCGTCACTTCCGGCTTTTTCTGCTTATGTGGTGCTGAGGAATCGAACCCAGGGCCTCATGAATGCAAGGCAAGTGCTCTACCCCTGAGCCACCTTCCCAGCCCCTTGCTTGGCTTTTTCTGTTCAAAGCTGGTACCCTGTCACTAAAGTCACACTTCCACTTCTTGTTTTTTGATGGTTAATTGGAGATAGGAGTCTCATAGACTTTCCTGCCTGGGTTGGCTTTGAATCATGACCCTCAGATCTCAGCCTCCTGAGTAGGTAGGATTGCAGGCATGAGCCACTAGGCTCTGGCTTCTTGTAGAAGTTTTTTTTGTTTTGTTGTGTTTTGTTTTTGTTTTTGTCGGTCGTAGGCCCTGAACTCTGGGCCTGGGCGCTGTCCCTCAGCTCTTCAGCTCAAGGCTAGCACTCTACCACTTGAGCCGAAGCACCACTTCCAGCTTTTTCTGCATATGTGGTGCTGAGGAATTGAACCCAGGGCCTCATGCATGCAAGGCAAACACTCTACCACTGCGCCACCTTCCCAGCCCACTTTGGAGCACCAAAATCTGTGCTTCTGGCAGGGTCAGCTGTGTCAGTGTTTTTCCATTGTGTGTTTTAATACCCCACAAACTATCTTAATCTGTGTGCTCTTTCTTCCTGGGTGCCCTTACTATTTTTGTTGCTTTCGCAAATGTTATTTTTCTAAATTGCCTTTTTTTTTTTTTTTGTCAGTTGTGGGGTTTGAACTCAGGGCCTGGGAGCTGTCCCTGAATTTTGTTGCTCAAAGCTAGTGCTTTACCACTGTGAACCACAGCTCCACTTCTGGCTTTCTGGTGGTTAATTAAGAGTCTCTGGACTTTCCTGCCTGAGCTGACCTCACACTGCACTCCTCAGCTCTCAGCCTCCTGAGTAGCTAGGATTACAGGTGTGAGCCACCGGTGGCTGGCTTTTGCACAGTACTGGTGTTAGGAGTACAGCTGGCTCGAGTTGATACAGCTGGCACTCTTCGGATCTTTCCCTGTCATCTGTAGGTTTGGGATCTTCTGTGTCGTCGTTCTCACATCCGGCATGGTGACGGCTCTCTGTGGCTTGTTTCCCCCCCTTCGCCGGGCAGGCTGGCACAGTGTGCGGTGGACGCCGGCTAGGACACCCATGCCCAGCCCTGTTTTGAGCAGATGCCCTTGCAGTCACTGTGATTAGTTCTCAGTCTTCCAGGGCTCCTTCTCAGAACAAAGGAGGTTTTAGTGGGAAATGGAAGTAAAGCAAAATTCAGGAGAGGTGAATAAAACCTGAGCCGCAAAATGAGCCCTGGGCGCTGCTGGCCTTTCCTCCCAGCCGCCGCGCGCGCGTGCGCGTGCATGCATGCGCGCTTGCCCTCTGTCCCACAAAGCTGCCGGCGGCCGTGCCAGACGGGGCGCTGCTCTGCTGCACGCTCCCCGGAGCCCGGGGCTGCAGCGCTGGGGCCCCGGGGGCCCTCCAGGCAGGTTTCCCATAAATGCAAGAACAGGTGATGGTTTGTCATGTCCTCACCCACAGCACCGTGCTCTAGGGCTTCAGTGACCTACAGGCATCTTCAGGCCATAGATATTATCTAAGAAGAGTCTAGAAGGATACAATTCATAAGTTGGAAATTGCACACCATTCTGGGTACTATGATGAAGTCGTACACAGTCCTGCTCTCTCCCATCTGGGAGAGGAACCTTCCCATTGTCCAGTGTGTCCATGCCGTCGGCACTGTCCAGCTGTGAATAGGTGGCACTCAGCTTGTCAGCCTGGCGTGGTGTGGTGCCCTGCTTGTCAGGCTAGCAGTTGTCTGCGTGGTGTCCTGGTGTGAGGCTGTCGGTTGTCCACGTGGTGCTCTGTTGTCAGGCTGTTGGTTGTCCCTGTGGTACCTTGCTTGTCAGCCTGGTGATTGTCTAGGTGGTACCCGGCCAGTCAGGCTGGTGATGAGGGCGAGTAGCAGGTGACTGGAGGCTACACGTGGTCGGCTGGGTGTCGGGCTCTCGGCGCTGGTCTGGATGGATCATGGCGGCGTGGTCGGCTGGGTGTCTGAGTTCTCGGCGCTGGTCTGGATGGATCATGGCGGCGTGGTCGGCTGGGTGTCGGGCTCTCGGCGCTGGTCTGGATGGATCATGGCGGCGTGGTCGGCTGGGTGTCTGGGCTCTCGGCGCTGGTCTGGATGGATCATGGCGGCGTGGTCGGCTGGGTGTCTGAGTTCTCGGCGCCGTGTCTGGATGGATCATGGTGGCGTGGTCGGCTGGGTGTCGGGCTCTCGGCGCCGGGTCTGGATGGATCATGGCGGCGTGGTCGGCTGGGTGTCTGGGCTCTCGGTGCCGTGTCTGGATGGATCATGGCGGCGTGGTCGGCTGGGTGTCGGGCTCTCGGCGCCGTGTCTGGATGGATCATGGCGGCGTGGTCGGCTGGGTGTCTGGGCTCTCGGCGCCGTGTCTGGATGGATCATGGCGGCGTGGTCGGCTGGGTGTCGGGCTCTCGGCGCCGTGTCTGGATGGATCATGGCGGCGTGGTCGGCTGGGTGTCAGGGCTCTCGGCGCTGGTCTGGATGGATCATGGCAGCATGGTCAGCTGGGTGTCGGGCTCTCGGCGCCGTGTCTGGATGGATCATGGCGGCGTGGTCGGCTGGGTGTCGGGCTCTCGGCACCGTGTCTGGATGGATCATGGCGGCGTGGTCGGCTGGGTGTCGGGCTCTCGGTGCCGTGTCTGGATGGATCATGGCGGCGTGGTCGGCTGGGTGTCTGGGCTCTTGGCGCCGGGTCTGGATGGATCATGGCGGCGTGGTCGGCTAGGTGTCAGGGCTCTCGGCGCTGGTCTGGATGGTCATGGCGGCGTGGTCGGCATACTTCTTCCCTTCTCACTGGAGTCTCAGCTTCCTGTGTGTTCTTCCCAGGCTGCTGAGAGTCAGAGGTCCTGTGCGCCACAGTGGCACACGTGGGCTGAAGCAGGCGCTCAGACCGTGGGCTGCCTGGGGTCAACCTGTTCGGGGGCGCACCCTGAGCAGGATGGCAGCGACAACCCCAGCTCTGACCTTCCAGGGCTAGCTCTGGAACTGGACATGGGGCCGTGCTGCCTCCGGTGCCCTGAGCCCTCCTCTGCCCCCGTGGCCCTTCCTGCCCGCCCCATGGTGCCTGAGTGCGGAGGCGCTTCCCAGCCCCGCGCCTTCTCGCTCACACCTGAGCTGGGGCCACCCTACGTCAGCCCTGTCCTGGGGCTTCTGGAAGGCTACAGAAACAGCACGGTAGCGCTGGCTCCCCGGCAGTCTACACCTCGTGCCCATGTCTCAGCAGTAGAGTGCCCCAGGCCCCTGCGTGGATCCTGGAGGCCGAGCACAGGTGCTCGGCGAGGCTGGGAGCCGCATGTGTGGTGGGGAGGAGCGGCAGGGCAGCGGGGCTCGGCCTGCTCCCGGGCGCCTGGAGGACCCGGGCGGTTCCTCGTGCTAGGAGGCGAAGCAGGTGAGGACATGAGGGCCTGTGCTGGCTGTTCTGCGCCGGAAGGGGGCGGGAGGCTTTGAGGCTGAAGCAGAATCCAGGGCGAGAGTCCTGCAGCTGCAGCAGGAGGTCCTGCACTCCAGATAAGATGGGAGTGAGGTTTGGCTGAGAATGGCTCCGGGATGGGGTTTCCATGATTCTGGGGAGGGTCCCTTGGGAGGGTGGCCCAAGGGCCATGAGAGCCACTGTGAATTACTAGAACAAGGCAGATTCCATCGCCTCGTCCATGCCCCTGCCCGGCTCACCCCATGCTGCCCTCCCGTGGCTGCAGAGCGGGCTCCGGAGCGCGTGGGGGCTGTCTGGCTCCGTGGCCGCCTCGCCCACCCCTCCTCATCCTCCCGCCGGTGCCGGTGCCGGTGCCGTGCGGGCGGATCGGGTCATGCCTTTTGGATAAACGAGCTTGGATAACCAGCTCAGTGACCCCGGAGGAGCGGATGTCATTTTCTGCTCGGTGGCGTGTGTCACCTTGTAGTTGTGGGCGGCTGGCACAGCCAGGCCTTCCTGGACCTGTGGCTTGGCTCACGGCTCGGGAGCCTCTCGTGACACCGTTGCCTTCCCTGGGGCCTGGGTGGCCGGCGGCCGGGCAGGAGCTGTGCTCCGGCTCCCCGTCCCGGGGCGAGGAGCTCCTTGTGCGGTCCCGCTCTGTGCAGGGCCTGGGCTCCCCGAGCCCCCAACCCCTGTGAGTTAGCAGTCACGCCCTGCCGGCCCAGCCCCGGCGGGGTTGCCCTGGGACCAGGTGACCCCAAGCCAAGGGGGTCTCCGCTTCCTTCTCACCGCCAGCTCCGGAGCAGATCTGGGCCAGGTCTGAGCCCCCTCAGCAGTCCAGTGGGGAAGCCGGCCCTGCGGCCATTCTGTATGACTTGGGGAAATTTGCGTGGAGGCTGGCTACTGCAGGACAGACATGGTGAGTGTCCAGGTGAAGGGCCAGTCCTGGGGCTTGAACTCAGGGCTTGAGCGCTGTCCCTGAGCTGCTTTTGTTCAAGGCCACAGTTTCCTTTCCAGCCTTTTCTGTGATTCATTGGAGCTAAGAACTTCATGGACTTTTGTGTCCTGCTGGCTTTGAACCGGGCTCCTTGCATCTCAGCCTCCTGAGTCTCTAGTATTGCTGGTGTGAGCCGCCGGCGCCTGGCAGCTCTGATCTTCTGGTGGAGTTGAGGGATGCGGGCAGCTCCCCTGGGATCTTCTAAGCGTCTTCAGTGTCTCTGACAGTTGGGTCTAGCTCCTGTGTCACATCCATTTTCATCTTCTGTTGCTTAGGCTTTCAATTAAGCTTTTTATTAGGGTAATTGAGCTCTTCACAGCTTCCATCTCTTCATGAATTCAACTCTCAAATCCCACATTGTCTTCTTTCATTCATGTGTGCTTTCTTGTCTGTCTGCCTTCTCTTGGTATTCATCTAGTCTCTCTTACTTCGTTGAGTATTTCTCTGAATACTGCTTTGATCTTTCTTCCTTTTTGTTTTCATCTGAGGTCTTCGTTGTGCTATCACTGGTTTGTTTGTTTGTTTTGTCGGTCGTGGGGCTTGAACTCTGGGCCTGGGCGCTGTCCCTCAGCTCTTCAGCTCAAGGCCAGCGCTCTACCGTTTGAGCCACAGCGCCACTTCCAGTTTTCTAGTGGTTCATTGGAGATAAGAGTCTCACGGACTTTCCTTGCCCGGGCTGGCTTTGAACCATGATCCTTCGATCTCAGCCTCCTGCGTAGCTAGGATGACAGGCGTGAGCTGCCGGTGCCCGGCAGTCTGTCACACTATTTTCACACTGATACTCAAGTAGTTGTGATACATTCTCCAATCTGAGTAATCTTAACTACTTATCGTTTTCTGGACAGGCTTGCTACGCAGGGGTGGTCCTGTCACAGCGCAGGGAGCAGCAGCGCGGTTAGGACGTGCCGGGCTGGTACACCGGGCCGTGCTGTCAGGCCCGGCCCGTCTGCGCCGCCGCTCTGCCAGGCTTTGCTTTGTCCATGTGGCGAAGGAGGTTGGTGAAGCAAGCTCTCATGCTCCTGTGGGCTGATCTGCACGTTTCTTCTAGTGCTTTCTGCTTTTAAGTCTGCATTGTCTAAAATTCGTTCAGCGCTGCCCCTGCCCCTCAGCTCTGTGCATCGTTATGTTGTAGGGGTGTCCTCATTAATTAACTAACCAATTTATTTTATGAACCAATACACTTATCCATTGAACAAATTAATAACTTTAATCAATAGGTTAGTAAGTTAATTGTTTTAATTAATAGATTATTTTACACATTGATAAACGATTAGTTTATCAAGTTTATTATTAGTTTATCAAGCTTATCAAGGAGGTAAGATTTCATTATTCCATTTCTACATGTTTACAAAATATGCTAATCAGTTTCACCCCCTCTATCCACGCCACTCTCCTTTCTTCTTCCAACGATAATTTGAACGGGTTTCACTTTTCTATTAGCAAACGATGCGAACGATCGTTGTGGCCATCTTCACCCTCTTTCCCCGTCTCTGCTACCCCACCTTCCTGAGTGAGCCCCGGCTGCCTGAGAGCCTCCCCCCTCCCCCCTCCCTGAGAGCCTCCCCCCTCCCCCCTCCCTGAGAGCCTCCCCCCCTCCCTGAGAGCCTCCCCCCTCCCCCCTCCCTGAAAGCCTCCCCCCCTCCCTGAGAGCCTCCTCCCTCCCCCCTCCCCCCCTCCCTGAGAGCCTCCCCCCCTCCCTGAGAGCCTCCCCCTCCTCCTCCCTGAGCCTCCCCTCCCCCCCTCCCTGAAAGCCTCCCCCCCTCCCTGAGAGCCTCCCCCCCTCCCTGAGAGCCTCCTCCCTCCCCCCCTCCCTGAGAGACTCCCCCCTCCCCCCCTCCCTGAGAGCCTCGCCCCTCCCTGAGAGCCTCCCCCCTCCCTGAGAGCCTCCCCCTCCCTGAGAGCCTCCTCCCTCCCCCCTCCCCCCTCCCTGAGAGCCTCGCCCCTCCCTGAGAGCCTCCCCCTCCCTGAGAGCCTCCCCCCCTCCCTGAGAGCCTCCCCCCTCCCTGAGAGCCTCCTCCCTCCCCCCTCCCTGAGAGACTCCCCCCTCCCCCCCCTCCCTGAGAGCCTCGCCCCTCCCTGAGAGCCTCCCCCCTCCCTGAGAGCCTCCCCCCTCCTGAGAGCCTCCTCCCTCCCCCCTCCCCCCCTCCCTGAGAGCCTCCCCCCTCCCCCCCTCCCTGAGAGTCTCCCCCCCTCCCTGAGAGCCTCCCCCCCTCCCTGAGAGCCTCCCCCCCTCCTGAGAGCCTCCCCCTCTCCGAGAGCCTCCTCCCTCCCCCCCCTCCCTGAGAGACTCCCCCCTCCCCCCCTCCCTGAGAGGACTCCCCCCCTCCCTGAGAGCCTCCCCCCCTCCCTGAGAGCCTCCCCCCCTCCCTGAGAGCCTCCTCCCTCCTCCTCCCTGAGAGCCTCCCCTCCCCCCCCTCCCTGAGAGCCTCCCCCCCTCCCTGAGAGCCTCCCCCCCTCCCTGAGAGCCTCCCCCTCCCCCCCTCCCTGAGAGCCTCCCCCCCCCCCCCCATGCTCTTGTTGGCCTTCATTGAGATTCTCTGCTGTTTTCATACATGCTCGGAATGCATTTCAACCTGACCCCCCTCTGTCTTTAAAC